GTCATCATGGTCAACTCTACTTTGAGGAGGCAGCTCTTTCCCAGTCACATTTTGAGTGCTTTCCTACCTAAGGAGTTCATTTTCTGGCACTATATCTGATAGTGTTTCTCTTCTATTCATAATGTTTTCAATGACTAAATTTTCTATTTTTACATACTGCTACCACAGTATGGTGGTGGTTGTTGTTATTAAGTGCTATTGAGCCGATTCCGACCCATAGTGACCCTATATAGGGTTTCCAAGGAGCAGCTGGTAAGCTTGAACTACTGACCTTGCAGTTCAAATGACTTTGCAGTCTGACGCATTAGCCACAGCACCATACCTTGACCCCGTATGTAAAAATGTACATTTTATTTATTCAGATTTTAACTATGAAAAATGGTAATTATAAATGACAGGATTTTTCCAAAGTTTTCTATAATGTTATAATGTGTGTCTTAAAACTTTAGACTACAAGGTATGTTCTGTAAAATATAGAACGTTATGTGATTTGGACATCGTGCAAACACTATATTAAAACTTTATAGGGAGCCCGCTTCTGGTTGTCCTTGTCACCATTTCTGCCACTACTGGAGCTGCTAACAGAGGTTAGAAGAGTGGGTGTCAGCAGCAGTGGCTGCTAAGGGAGCTGTGCTATGAATACAGCAAGATGAAGCAAGCAGTGAGAGTGGAATGAATCTAGCCCTACCTGCTTTTCCACCTGTGTGTACAGCAGGAGCAGCCAAGTCCGTCAATCTTCACCACTGCCATCTGCCTGCCCATCAGCCTGCCTATAACCTATACATTGTCCAGTCCTTCAAGAATCTGGATTTGGGGGACTTTAAAACCATGTTTATTGTTGTTAGCTGCCATTGAGTCAGTTCCAACTTATAGTGACCCTATGCACAATAGAACTAAACAATGCATGGTCCTGTGCTATCCTCTTAATTATTATGTTTGAGTCCATTGTTGCTGCTACTGTGTTGGACCATCGCATTGAGACTTTTCCTCTTTTTCACTTACTTACCTCTTTACTAAGCTTGATGTCTTTCTCCATGGACCGATTCCTTTTGACAACATTTCCCAAAAATCAGAGATGAAGTCGCACCATCCTTGCTTGTAAGGAACATTCTGGCTGTACTTCTTCCAAGAATGTTTGTTCTTTTGGCAATCCATGATGCTTTTCTTTGCCAACACCAAAATTCAAATACATCGATTCTCCTACTCTCTTCCATATTTGTTGACCAACTTTTGAAAATACCATTGCTTTACAATACAGTATGACCCAGCAAGACCTGTATTTGGTATATATCCCCAAGATATAAGAGTCATGACACAAGTAGACATATCAGCACACATGTTGATCGCAGCACTATTCACTATAGCAAAAAAGATGGATACAGTCTAAATGCCCATCGATGGGAAAATGGATAAACATACTCTGGTACGTACACAGAATGAAATACTGTACAGTGTTGAAAAAAAAAACAATTAGTCTATGAAAACCTCATGACGTGGATGAACATGGAGGACATTATGCTGAGTGGAATTAAACAATCACACACACAAAAAAAAACAAGTATTGTATGAGACCACCATTGTAAAAACTCTAGAAAAGGTTTTCAATTTAAAAACAAAACATTTTTTTATGATTACCAGGGATGGGAGGGAAGGGAAAGTAATTCACTGGCTAGAGGGTTGTTGTTGTTGTTGTTAAGTGCCGTCAAGTCGGTTCCAACCCACAGCGACCCTCTAGAGGGTTTCCAAGGAGTGACTGGTGATCTTGAACCACCAACTTTGCAGTTCAAACTGACTTTGCAATCTAGCACATTAACCCACAGCACCATAGATGGTAACTCAGGTGAGGGAAAAAATGATATACAATAAGAGTGAGGTTGGTAGAAGAATGATGAAGACAGACAAAGACACAGAAAGGAATGCAAGGATTTAAGGGGTAGAGGTAAATATTGTTATAGGCACAACCATGTAGCACAACAGTGTTCTTCGGGTAGATACATACAGAGACAGATATTCAGGCTGAACAGGTATGAAAGGGAGAGTGGGCATATACCCACAAATATATAAGGGTTTCTCAAAGGATATTTGTACACAGGCATTTAGCTTTGCTGCAAAAACACCTATGAATGCGGTGCAGCATACATGGGGAAAAATAGTGACATCTTCTTAGCTGTTACCAAACACCTTGAGACAATGATTATCTGGGCCTGGGGGCTCAAGACCATAGTCTCTAAGGACACCCTGGTCAATAGGTATAGCATAGTCCACGGAGATAATGTTTTACATCCTACTGTGGGATCTGAAAAACTCATGCGTGGCCATCTAAGATGTAACTATGGTCTCTCCATGTGCAGAAGAAAGAAGAGTGATGAAAAGTGAAGATGCTTGGAATCAATTAGTCCGGTGACAAATGAAACATGTGAATATAATTCTCTATGACTCTGAGACCTGAAGAACTGCTCTAAAAGGGATTACAAAAAAGGTCCTAAATAGAAGGGGAGAAAATGTGGAACAGAACTCAAAACTATTTTTAAAGAAAAGACTGAAGGAACCTGAGACTATGTCCCTCAGCCACCTATCGGGTTTGGAGTGGAGCTCACTCTCATGACCCAATTTTCATCATAGGTATAGTAGAGGCAAAACAACCCTAGTTGTGGTATGCTCACCATAGAATGGTCAACCATTCAAGATCAAAAGAGCAAAATTCAGAGGGTTTAAGAAGGAGGGTGGAATAGAACTAGGAACCACAGGGAGGAAGCAGGATAACCATTGCTACATGGAGGGGATTATAACCATTGAGATGAAACAAAGTGAATGCAAAACTGATGATCTGCTCTTTAAACCGGTACTCAATTCACAATAAAAAATTGTGTTAAAAAAAAAAAAAGTATAGACCTAGATATGGAGGATATATTAAAACATGATAGTTCCACATTTTGATATTTTTAATAAAGGTTTCTATGATTCTGTAGTCCCCAAACTGACATCTCTTGAACACTTTAAAGAGGTCTCGTGCAGCAGATTTACCTAATGCAACACACCGTTTGATTTCTTGATGCTGCTGCCATGAGAATTGATTGTGAATCCAAGCAAAATGAATTCTTTAATAATTATGTCTTTTCTTAGCTTATCATGAAGTTATTTATTGGTCCAGTTACGAGAATGTTGTGTGGTTTTTGTTTTGTTTTGTTTTTTATCTTGAGGTGCAATCTATACTGAATGCTATATAATCTTTCATCTTCATCTGTAAGTATTGGCTTCTAGCAAGCAAAGTTGTGTTATCTACATATCACAGGTTGCTAATAAGTCTTCTTTCAATCCTGATTCCACTTCCTCATATAATTTGAATTCTCAGGTTATTGGTTCCAGGCATAGTAAGCCATATGGTTGCCTGGTTCAAATGGCCAATTTCAGCCCATTAATGCCTAGGATATTGATCTTTATGCGTTCCATTTCAGTTTTGATGACTTACAATTTTCCTAGATTCTTACTTTGTACATTCCACATTAATGAGTGTTTGCAGCTGTTTCTTCCATTTGGAATTGTGCCATATCAGCAAATGAAGGTCCCAAAAGCTTTTTGCCATTCACATCATTAAGGTCATTTCTACTTTGAGGAAGCAGCTCTTCTCCAGTGCTATTTGAGTGCCTTCCAACCTGAGAGGCTTATATTCCAGCTCTATATCTGATAGTGTTCTGCTGCTACTCATACGGCTTTCAGTGCTTAACCATTTGGAAGTGGCTTGCCTCTCCTTCTTCCTAGTCTGTCTTAATCTCAAAACTCAGCTGGAACCTGTCCACCATGGGTGAACCTGCTGATATTTAAAATACCAGTGGCATAGCTTCCAGTATCACCGAAACACATAAGCCACCACAGTATAACATACTGAAAGATGAGTGGTGGTTAAAATTATTAGAGGAAATAATAAACCAAAAAGACAATTACATTCCCTTTAAAAAAAAAAACAAACAAACACTACTTATGAGACCACAGACAGAGTGAACAGACGTTAAGCAACACATGCCTGTATATATTTAAATACCTCAGTAAACTGGAAAAACCAGTATTCAAGGGGGCTTCAAAAAAATTGTGGGAAAATGGAATTAAAAGATAATGGGATTTTGGCTCTCTGCTCCTCCCCGTTTGGCAGGCAGCCACAGCTTCTCTTGCAGTACCAGCCGCATCCCTGAGACAAGATGGTGAAGGTCGGAGTCAACGGATTTGGCCGTATTGGGCGCCTGGTCACCAGGGCAGCTTGTAACTCTGGCAAAGTAGAGGTTGTTGCCATCAACGACCCCTTCATTGACCTGAACTACATGGTATATATGTTCCAGTATGATTCCACCCATGGCAAGTTCAATGGCACTGTCAAGGCTGAGAACGGGAAACTTATCATCAATGGGAAGCCCATCTCTATCTTCCAGGAGCGAGATCCCGCCAACATCAAGTGGGGTGATGCTGGTGCTGAATATGTTCTAGAGTCCACCGGTGTCTTCACAACCTTGGAAAAGGCTGGGGCTCACTTGAAGGGTGGTGCCAAAAGGGTAATCATCTCTGCCCCTTCTGCTGATGCCCCCATGTTTGTGATGGGCGTGAACCATGAGAAGTATGATAACTCGCTCAAAATTGTCAGCAATGCCTCCTGCACCACCAACTGTTTGGCCCCCCTGGCCAAGGTCATCCATGACAATTTTGGCATCGTGGAGGGACTCATGACCACAGTCCATGCCATCACTGCCACCCAGAAGACTGTGGATGGCCCCTCTGGGAAACTGTGGCGTGATGGCCGTGGGGCTGCCCAGAACATCATCCCTGCATCTACTGGTGCTGCCAAGGCTGTAAGGTCATCCCTAAACTGAATGGGAAACTCACTGGCATGGCCTTCCGTGTCTCCACTCCTAATGTGTCTGTTGTGGACCTGACCTGCCGCCTGGAGAAAGCTGCCAAATATGATGACATCAAGAAGGTGGTGAAGCAGGCATCAGATGGACCCCTAAAAGGCATCCTGGGTTACACTGAAGACCAGGTCGTCTCCTGTGACTTTAACAGTGACACCCACTCTTCCACCTTTGATGCTGGGGCTGGCATTGCCCTCAACGACCACTTTGTCAAATGTATTTCCTGGTATGACAATGAATTCGGCTATAGCAACAGGGTGGTGGATCTTATGGTCCACATGGCCTCCAAAGAATAAGAGCCCCCTGGACCACCAGCCCCAGCAACAGCACTAGAGGAAGAGAGAGGCCCTCAGCTGCTGGGAGTCCTTACCCCAACTGTAATCCCCCTACACACTGAGAGAAATTCCCATTCTCAGTTTCCATCCAGACCCCCTGGAGAAGGGGAGGGGCTTTAGAGAGCCCAGTCTTGTCATGTACCATCAATAAAGTACACTATCCAGCCAAAAAAAAAAAAAAAGATAATGGGATTTTTCCACAAACTTTTTGACGCACCTTATAGAATTTTAATTCTTTGCTCTGGGCATAATAAAAAATGTAATAAGCTCATTTTAGCAGGGTACTGGTATTTCAATATTTTATGCTCGTTAACATGACATCCACTGTTATCACTTGTATTTTAGGACATGAGAACTACAATTTTTCAGAGAAAGTATTTTTCTTGCTGTTATTGATTAGACTTATATTGTTCTCTCAGTTCAGCTAAGTGCTAGATGAACAGTATAACAATTCTAGTTGTACAGAAACATTTTTAGGGTTGTCTGTACATGTAATATATGAATATGATATATATCAGCTAGTAATGCCAATTAAAATGGAGCCATAGGCCTAAACCTAAAAGGAAAAGCTAACATAAATGCTTATTTCTTGAGTGCTACTAATATTATACTGCTTTGGACCACTGATATATACTGCCACCAGATACGTATTAGCCAGACTATTATATATGTTGTTGTTGTTGTTAAGTGCCATTGAGTCCGTTCTGACTCAGAGTGACCCTGTGTAGGGTTTCTGAGGAGCAGCTAGTGGATTTGAACTGCCGACCTTGCTGCTCAAACTGACCTTGTGGTCCAACACATTATCTTGCAGCACCACACCACAATTCCATATATATAGAGAGGGATAATGCTCTTTTTAGGAGTCCTGGTGTGGCTCTGTAGGTTAATGCACTGGACTGCAAGGTTGGTTTGAACCACAAAGTTGGCAGTTCAAGCTCACAAGCCACTCCTCAGAAACCATGTACTGGGTCACTATGTGTTGGAAACGACTTGACGGCACTTAATAACAATGCATTTTTCAATGATAGATATACTTTGAAGTTATCTGCATAACAGCATGTTGTGTCAAATTTGTATTTATGATGCTGCATAATTCTATTGATCTTAATAGGCATTGGAGTATACAATATTTTGAGGAGTGTATGGAAACAGAGATTTTCCCTTTTTGATAATACCGTTGTTGTTAATTTCTGTGGAGTCAGGTCCGACTCATAGCAACTCTGTATAGGGTTTCTGAGTCTGTAAATCTTTGTAGCAGAAAAAGCCTCATCTTTCTCCCGCAGAGCAACTGGTAGATATAAACTACTTACCTTGTGGCTAGCCATCCAGCTTGAAGCTCACTATACTACCAGGGTTCTCTATAATATCTCTGGCATATAAGTAATTATTTAAGACTAAAATAGCTCTTTAAAAATCTGAATTCCTAGAATGAATATGTTCTGATCTTCGATCTTTTATAATGATGATTTTACCATTTCCCTAGCAACTTGATGCGACACAGCAGTACTCAAACCAGCAGCATCAGAGTTAACTAGGCACTTAACAGAAATGCAGATTCCCAGGACTCATCTCAGACCTGCTAACTCTGGTAGTCAGGCCAGCATTCTGTTTTCACAAACTCGCTGGGTGATTCTGAAGTGCTAGTTTCTCAAGTGTTGTTCTTAACTTCTTATTTGAATTCAACATCACTTTGCTTCTAAATTTGTTCGTTTACTTTCTTTGTTCATAACAAAATTAATGTCAGAATGTACAGGCAACTTTGGACTTTGACGCTCATTACTTGAAGTATAAACTTGGAGATAAATCATCTTTTTATTTTATAAGTGATAAAATGATGTCCAGATTTTTCATTGATTTTTTTCCACAAAACATCTCCATGTCACATCTGGTTTCTAACTTTTTTGTTTTATGTTGTTTTCCTGTAACAGAATGAAAAGTTAATTCTAGAGCAACAAGAAAAAGCCAACAGACTTCAAAGGCGTCTAAATCAGGCTGAACAGAGAGCTGCTTCAGCTTCACAGCAGGTAGGGAGCATCCTCATTATTCTTAAGTGATGAATGGTCTGCAGAGATCAGAGATAAAAGTACCTTAGAAGTGCACATAAACTAATAGTTTTATTTTTACTTGATTAAAAGGATTTAACAATAGTCCATTTAATATTTGAAGTTGAAAAAGTAAACTTCAAAAACAGAAATAAACTGTTTATTCTTCAAGTTGACTCCTAGATCTGAAACTGTATTGCCCAGTATGGTAGCCACTGGTCATACCATAGGTGACTGTTTAAATGAAATGGCCATTTGTTCTAAAATAAAAGTAATGTTACCTCCTATTAGGAACAAAAAATAAGAACAGTTCAGTTACTATAAAAGTAATCTGGAAACAGACAATGAAAGTGGAGTTTTGATAATACTATGTATTATTAATTGCATTTAGTTATTAGTGAGCTGTTTCAATCAAAATTAACATTATTTTAGTAACTACATAGTAAAACAATTCTAAATATTCACTGTTCATGATGGGAGTTTTGAAAACCACTTCAAAATCAAACTTTTCTATTGAAATCCACTTCTGGTGTGAACATGGTATGACACTTCAAGAAAATCCAGTGATAATTTGCCTTCTGTTCCCTCCCTCTTGAGAGTAATTATAGTCTTGTCAAATAATTTTAGTTTCCTGGGAAGCATATTTAGTTAATTAGTCATTCATGAGTGCATTTGTTCCTGTAGATTATAAGGTAGCAGGAGTCAAGGTGCACTGGGCAGTATTTTAAGAGTATGTGTTTTGGTGGTGGCGCTGTTGGTTAATGCGCTGGACTGCAAGTCCAGATGAACCGGAGGCCTGTGGTTCAAGTTCACCAGCTGCTCCTTGGAAACCCTATACAGGGTCGCTATGGCTCAGACTCTGACTATACGGCACTTAACAACAAGAACAACAATCAAGTAGCCATGTGACTTTGTGCAGTTTTAACTTCTAGGTCTGAGCCTTAGTTCCCTCATGTTTAATTTTGGTTGGCTAAATCTTTCAAGAAAGTGAGGCAGCACAAGAGGCACTCACTCATCTCTGCCAAGAAATTTGGAAGACAACTATCTGGTCGACTGATTGGAAGAGATCCATATTTGTGCCCATACCAAAGAAAGGTGACCCAATGGAATGCAGAAATCATCGGACAATCTCTTTGATATCTCAAGCGAGTAAAGTTTTGCTAAAGGTAATACAGAAATTGCTGCAATCATACATTGACAGAGAACTTCCAGAGGTTCAAGCTGGATTCAGAAGAGGCCGTGGAACGAGAGATATCATTGCTGATGTCTGGTGGATATTGGCTGAAAGCAGAGAATATCAGAAAGATGTTTACCTATGCTTTATTGACTACGCAAAGGCTTTCGATTGTGTGGATCATGACAAGCTATGGACAACATTACGAAGTATGAGTATTCCAGAACACTTAATTGTACTTCTGAGGAATCTGTACCTGGACCAAGAAGCAGTTGTTCAAACAGAGCATGGGAACACTGAATGTTTTAAAATTGGGAAAGGTGTGCCACAAGGTTGTGTTCTTTCACTATACTTATTCAACCTGTATGCTGAGCAAATAATACAAGAAGCTGGGTTCTATGAAGAAAAACGTGGCATCAGGATTGGAGGAAGACTTATTAACAACCTGCGATATGCAGATGATACAACCTTGCTTGCTGAAAGTGAAGAGGACTTGAAAAATTTGCTGATGAAGATCAAAGAGCACAGCCTTCGGTATGGGTTGCATCTCAATGTCAGGAAAACAAAAATCCTCACCACTGGACCAATAAACAACATTCTTATCAACAGTGAAAAGATTGAAGTTGTCAAGGACTTCATTCTTCTTGGATCAACTATCAACACTCATGGAAGCAGTAGTCAAGAGATCAGACGACATATTGCATTGGGCAAATCTGCTGCACAGGAACTTTTTTAAAATGTTGAAGAGCAGAGACGTCAGTTGAGGACTAAGGTGTGCCTGACTCAAGCCATGGTATTGCAGTAACCTCTTATGGATGTGAAACCTGGACAGTGGATAAGGAAGATCATAGAAGAATTGAAGCCTTTGAGTTGTGGTGTTGGAGGAGAATACTAAAAGTGCCACGGACTGCTAAAAGAACCAATAGATCCATTTTGGAAGAAGTGCAGCCACAGTGCTCCTTGGAGGCCAGGCTGGCTAAGCTTCGTCTCTCATACTTTGGACATATTGTCAGGAGGGAACAGTCGCTGGAGAAAGAAGTCATTCTGGGTAAAGTGGAGGGTCAGAGAAAAAGAGGAAGACCCCCAACGAGATAGATCAGCCAGGTGGCATCATTGATGGCATCAAGTGTGGCAGCAGTAGTGAGGTTGGCCTAGCATCGGACATTGTTTCGTTCTGCTGTGCATGGGGTCACTATGAGTCAGTTCCAACTCGATGGCGCCTGACAACAACAACAATGCTTCCCTCAAAGGAGCCCTGATGGTAGAGTGGGTTATGCGTTGGTCTGCTAAACTCAAGGTCAGCAGTTCAAATTCACTAGCAACTGATAAGGTGATGAGAAAGATGAGGCTTTCTACTCCTTTAAAGATTTACAAGTCCTATACAGAGTCGCTATGAGTCTGAACTGACACAATGGCATAAAACCAACGCTACCACCACCACCATCACCATACTTCTCTCATACACAGTTAATGAAAGACTCAAATAATCTATGTAAAGCATTTAGCATAGTCGTTGCAGGATAGATTGTGGTGACTGTGAGCCACTGAATCACCTCTGATTGAAAACAACCCTGTATAGGGATTTCAAGGTTGTGAGTCTTTACAGGAGCAGAAAGCTTCATCTTTCTTGCATGAAGCGGATGGTGGATTCTAAGTGCTGACCTTGTGGTTAGCAGTCCAACATGTAATCCACTGCATTAAAAGATAGATAGCTATTGATAGATATTTTTTAAATATTGTTATAGGCATTGTAGGATAAGCACTGGATTGCAAGATTGGTTTGAAACACAAAATCTGCAGTTCAGACTCACCAGCTGCTCCTTGGAAACCCTATACAGGGTCATTATGAGTCAGAACAAACTTGATGGCACTTAATAATAATAATATAAGGGCTCCTGGTGTGGCACTGTTGGATAAGCATAGCACTGTGAACCAGAAGGTCGGCAATTCAAACCCACCAGCTGCTCCTTGGAAACCCTGTACAGGATCGCAATGAGTCGATGGCACTTAATAACAACAACAACAACTTTAAAACGTCAGGCTTCTCCTTTTTTAAGTAATCTGATAAATAAAATGCCTACTTACAGTCAAACTATGTTGAGTTCTATAGAACAAAGGGTAAAATTATAAAGCCTTAATTATATGAGCCAATTGGCATCCAATTTAGTCTCCCTACTCACAGAATTAAACCTAAACAGTCCAACACAGATGTCTCTTATTATTTAAATTCTCCAGTGTCAGAGAATCTACTATTCTCCTTGCAAACATTTATATATATCATGTTATTTATTGGGTTGTTGTTGAAAATATACACAGCAAAACATCTCACCAATTCAATAGCTTCTTCATTTACCATTTAGTGAAATTACATTAGTCAAATTCTGTATCCATTCTCACCATCCTTTTCTGAATTGTTCCTCTGCCTTTAACATAAGTTCACAGGCCCCCATTGTTCCTATATATTGTGTTGCTGTTATAAATTTGATCTCATAGAAATAATTTTAAAAGATCATATAGTGCTCAAGGCAGACAATTTGTGCTAGTTAAGCTGAACTGTTGTTTGGTTTTAAGAAGGCTTCGGAGAATATTTTTGGTGTAAGGAATAAAGATTATCTCAGAACAGTATTTTCCGGAGTTCATTCAACCATCATGGCTCCAGGAAGTCTAAAGTCCATGATATTTTGAAATTCTGTTGAACTTATTTTTTTTTTACGTTTTGTCAGTAACCAAAAATTTTTCTGTTGCAAATTTTTCCTTAAACTTTTCTATTTCAATTCTGTTCTTATTTGAAGATGCAAAATAATTATTCAGCACTCTTCCCATACACAGATGTGAATTCCTTCCCCGGAGTTAATATATTTTTTTTCCGTTTTAAATGAATACAAGTCCAGCACACTTTATTTATAAATTACATATTCAATTTAAAAAAAAACAACTTATTTTTGCTTTCTCTAAATCTTTACTGATTTTACTGTTTCATTCTGAAAGTTAGAAACTGATACTAAATATAATAAGGAGCCCTGGTAGCATAGTAGCTACTATTTGGGCTGTTAACTGAAAGTTCAGCAATTTGAATCCACCAGCTGCTTGGTGGGAGAAAGATGACACTTTCTACTCCTGTAAAGATTTACAGCCTCAGAAACCCTGTACAGGGTCACTATGAGTCAGAACCAACTCAATGGCACACCATCTCCACTAGAAAAATAGTGTCCTGCTAGTGGCACTGTGAGTTAATGTGCTGGACTTCATGGTCAGTTTGAACCACAAGGTCAATGGTTCAAGCTCACCACCCTATGCAGGTTCACCATGAGTCGGAGTTGACTCAACAGCACTTAACAACACCACCTAAGGCTTGATAGTGGATTACAAGCTGGGCTGCTAACCACAATGTCAGCAGTTCAGATCTACCAGACACTCCTTAGAAGAAAGATGAGGCTTTCTGCTTCCGTTAAGATTTACAGCCTTGAAAACCCCGTCCAGGGTCACTATGAGTCAGAAGCAACTCCTCGGCACACCACCACAATGACTAAGACATTGATATTTTATGAGATGAAAAATTAACAACATTATCGCAAACACAGCCAGCTTACCATAATGCATCCCCCAGGACCCTGCAGGCTTATCACAATCCCTGAGTGTACTGACTCAGTCATGCTCTAGATGTGCTGCATACTTTTTCTATGGTCTTCATTCATCTGTAAATGAATGAGTGAGTTTTTCTGTGTATCACTGTGAAGCAAACCACTGTATTTGACAGCATAGCATTTTTTTTTTTTTTTTTCAATCAGTATGGTGAAGCCTTTTTAAGCAAGAACACAAAATCTCGAAGCTAATGGGGGAAAAAAATTTATAAATGTGGCCACATAAATTTCGAATCTCGGTACAGAAAATAAAGTCAAAGTCAAATTACAAAAATATTTGTAATACATATGGCAAAAGGCTAATATCTTAAATATATGTAAAGAGTGTTAAGGTAAGTCACTAACTCAACAAGAAAAGGTGCTACAATCCAGTAGGCAAAGGGTAAAGGAAATTCACAGATAAAGATAGGTATAAGGATTTTTCAGCATGTTTTTAATGCTTATCCTTACTCATAATAGACACACAGATTTACTGCAATCACATAGCACTTTTCATCTGTCAGATCCTGAAGTTTGATGGTTGTTCTGATAAGGCATTTTAGCACATTGTTGATGTGTTCTTTGGTATATCACCTCTTGGAAATACAATATCACTCAAAATTATAAATATGTATAATCTCTGACCCAGTGTTTCTAGAAATTTATTCTGCAGATAATGTACTTGGATTTGAGTGCATCTATGCAAGGAAGAATGTAAAAATATGAATTGTAGCATTGTCTATAATTTTATAAATTATCATTTAAATGCCTATCCGTAGTAGGCCATTTGAATTATGGTCTGTCCTATGGTACAGTATGCATTTCTTAAGAGGAATAAAGTGGATCTAATATGGAACTATTTTTAAAGTAGATTGTTTAGAGGAAGAAAAAACAAGATGAAAAGTGAGTACAATACTTTGATTTTTAAAATAAGTAATCAGTGAATATATGCACATATTCTCATTTAGAATATTAATAAATATTTACTTATAAGCAGTGGGTTTTACCTAAAGAGAGGACTGTGAAGTAAGGGACAGTATTGCTTTCCAGTGTATTTGTTTTTCCTTTTAGATTTTTGTATCATTTGTGCATATTATTGATCCCAATTAATATTTCAAGGTTATTTTCCTGTTAGACTTTTCTTACTTTTTATTCTCATCATATGTTTATTAACCAGCCTTCCATATGTTGGCTCACATGTAGTTTGTGTATTAGATGCTTTTCTGACTGACGTTTATCTAGATATTTTTCACCCAGCAATGGAGTATGTTTGGGAATTCTACATATATCACTCTGAACTTTGAAATACCATATTGTCCTTTCATGTACATTTCTCTAGTGTAATGCATTTTAAGTATCAAGAGTAAAATAGAAATGAGCCCCAAAGATGGCCTTGTTTAAGACCCCTTCCATTAAGAAGATAATTTTCAATAATTGTAGGTTGTGATGCATTGTGTTTTGTATTAGTCTAAGATTTTCTATAGAAAAAGTGACTACTTACTGATTGTTTATTTTAATTGCAGCTCAGTGTGATTACAGTGCAGAGAAGAAAAGCTGCCTCCATGATGAATCTGGAAAATATTTAAAAATATTCATAGTTCATTCACAGCACTTTAGAGTTGGGAAAGCTGTTGGACTAGAAGTGTATTGAAATGATAAAGCCTTCAAAGAATGGTTAGGTTTGTGTCATTTTGCATAAGCATTTGCCATTCTGTTTTGAGGGTTATTGGAAAACAGAACAGTGACAGCTTCCTGTAAGTAAAGAAAATATAATCCTATACTGAACTTTAGTGGAGAATAAAGCCAGCTGAGAAGAAAACATTGCCTTCATCAACGTGTCCATTTTTTAATTCCCCCCTTTTCCCTTAGAGCAAAATATTTTTCAAAATATGCTAATCATGAGAGGTCTTAAGAAAATACTAGAATTTGAGATTTGAGAATTTTACAACTGTTAGTCCTAATTCATTTTTAAAGTTTCTAAGTATCAATTTTCCATTATGAACTCAGAAATGCAATAAATTATACACTTTCTAAAATGATGCTGTCATGTATTCTAATGTACAATTATAGTGATTAATTTTAAACTTACATAGTTTCTAATATTTGTAGAACTTGACATCTGAAAATTTGGGAGGTCTTTTTGTTTGTTTGTTCATTTGTTCGTTACTACTCACAGAAGTACTAAATAAATGGCTAATTTCAGTTCTGAGAAGGAAAAAATGAAGATTAAAAATTCTGGAAAAAAGATAATGAATTTGAGTTTGAGGTGCCATGAAAACATGTAGTCGAAAGTTTACATATTGGGTAGTCCTGGGATTGTTTGACATGAAGCCTTGGGAATATAGAATCTTGCCTTGGACTTTATGTAATGTGGCTAGTTTGTCTCTTCTACCTCTTCCAACACCACTCTCCCTTCTATTTCTTGTACCTCACCCCTGGTGACTTTTAAGTTATATCCATACATCATCTGAACCACAAGGTTCGTTCGAACCAACCACAAGTCAGTGGTTAAAACTCACCAGTCACTCCTTGGAAACCCTATATAGGGTCACTGAGTCGAAACCGACTCTATGATACTTAACAACAACAACAACAATATATCATCCTCCCTTCCACCTCTATCTTTCACGTCTCTATACAGATATCACTTGCTCTGAAGAGTCCTTCCTAGCCTCCAGATGAGGTTGTTTCGGGGTTCTATAAGTCATTCTATCTCATAGAAATCCCATGTGACAAGAGCAGAACTGCCCCATAGAGTTTTAGTGGTGCCATAGGATAAGGTTAATTTGAACTGCAAGATTGGTGGTTCAAACACAGCAGTCACTCCTCGCAAACCCTATTCAGGGTCACTGTGAGTCAGAACTGACTTCACCGTACACAACAACAACAAAATCTTCATGGAAGATCAGCACTGGACTGCAAACCACAAAAGCAGTTCAAACCCACCAACTGCTCCTCAGAAACCCTATACAGGAGCACTATGAGTCAGAACCAACTCGATGGCACTTACCAACACCAACCAGTCTTCAGGATGGAGCCCTGGTGATGCAATGGTTAAGTATTCCTATAAATGTACAGCCTAGAAAACCCTGGCCTCTCACATGGGGTTACTGTGAGTCAATCACAACTCGAGAGCACCTACACCAATCTTTATGGAAGCAAATCACCAAAGATTCACTTATTGTTGTTGCCATTAAGTACCTTGGAGTTGGTTCCAACCCATAGTGACCCTATATAGGGTTTCCAAGCAGTGGTTGGTGGGTTTGAACTGACCTTGTGGTCCAACGCATTCGCCAACTTTTCACGTAGCAGCCAAGTGCTTACCAGTTGCACCTCCAGATGAGGTTGTATCTTCAAGTCAATTCCAACTCATAGCAACCCGCTATAAGATTTCTGAGGCTGTGAAGTTTTGTGGGAGCAGAAAGTCTCATCTTTCTCCCATGTAACAGGATAAAGTTTGCAGTCCAGTGCCTATCCTCTAAAGCCATCAAATTCCCCCCAAATGAGGGTAGGTTTCCCTATTATATTGAGCATAATAGTGTGCTATATTTTTCTTTCATAGCACTTATCATATTTGTAATGAATTCTTTTTGGAATGTTTTTTTCATGTCTCCTCAATAGACAGCAAACTCCCTGAGAATCCTTGTATCCTTAACACACAACATAGTTCCTTGCACATAGAGGGTATTTCATAAGTGCTTCTTCAGAATATTAGTTTTTAAGGACAAGACCTGAGGAAAATGTCTTCATTTGTATAATGAGCTCTCTAAGAAGAGTCATTGAAGGACACAACAGGACATATGAGAAGGTTACAGAGAAGAAAATCCAATATGATAAACACTAAAGGAGGGAAGAAAACTGATCTTACTAAGTTGTTGTTAAGTGCCATCAAAAAATCAGTTCTAACTCATAGCAATCCTGTATAGGATCTCCAAGGTGTATCTGGTAGGTCTGAACTGCCAGCCTTGCAGTTAGCAGTCCAGTGCTTAGGCTACAGAACCACATCAGGTGTCCAGCCTTGTTAATTGTTAAGTGCTGTTGAGTCACTTCCAGCCCACAGAGACCCTGTATAGGGTTTCTGAGGAGCAACTGAATTGATGAGCTTGAACCACTGACCTTGTGGTTCAAACCGACTTTGTAGTCCAGCACATTAACCCACAGCACCACTGATTGATAGTGTCAAATGGAGTGATTAGACCAAATATACAAACATGTCTGTTAAATGGTAATTGGATAGGAAACATTAGCTTACTTTCATTTCTTAAAGATGTTTTCATTTGATTTTCTAAATTCCTTCCCATGTCATTCATAGACTAATTTCTGTGTTTGTTGTTGTTAAGTGCTGTCAAGTCGGTTCTGACTCGTAACCACCCTGTATAGGGTTTCCAAGAAGCGCTTGTAAGTTTGAACTGCCAACCTTGTTGGTTAGCAGTTTCGTGCTTATCCTATAGTGCCACACCAGGAGCCCAATTTCTATGTAGTAAGAGTTCTATTCCTATCCATGGTTACAGACTAGAATTTATTTTTAAGAACTCTTAATTAGGGATTAGAATTATATTTGCCCAAAAACTGAGGGTATAGGAGAAAACACGTCAGAACCTAACATCCTAGATTAAAGGAATATAAGTATTATTCTTATCCTTTTCAAAAATAAAATCTAACTTCCCACATTCATTCCTTTAAGGTAAAAATATAAAAACATAGGTACTTTTCCCAAAGTTTGGCCTTGTACTCCAAATTCTAGTATGAATAACCCCCTTTTCCACTTGGATGTCCTTCATGCTACTTAGATATTCTCTAATGTAGGGATAAACACCTTAAAAAAAAATAGTAAAACCCATTGTCTTTTAATTTATCTTAACCTATGGAAACCCTATGTGTTACAGAATAGAACAGCTCCATAGGGTTTTCTAAGGATCTCTGGTAGCGTAGTGATTATGAATCGGGCTGCAAACCTTAAGATCAGCAGTTCGAAACTCCCAGCCGCTCTGCGGGAAAAAGATGAGGCTTTCTGCTCCCGTAAAGATTTACAGCCTCAGAAACCCTGTACAGGGTCGCTATGGGTCGGAACCAACTCAACGGCACCTAACAACAACAACATAGGGTTTTCTGGGCTGTAATCTTTATAGAAGCAAATTGCCAAGCCTTTCTTCCTCAGTACCAGGGGTCCTGGTGGGGTGCTGTAGGATAAGCACTGTACCACAGAGTCAGTTTGAATCACAAGGTTGGCAGTTCAAACTCACCAGCAGTTCCTCAGGAACCCTCTACAGGGTCACTGTAAGTTGGAACTGACTCAATGGCACTTAACAGCAACCACCACCGGGTAGGTTTGAGTCACCAACCTCTAAGTTAGTAGTAAAGCACTAACTGTGCCACCCAGGGACATTGAGGAAACGATGATGTTGTTAAATGCTATCAAGTCAGTTCTGACTCATAGTGACCCTATATAGGGTTTTCTAGGAGTGGATAGTGGGTTTGAACTGTCAACCTTGAGGTTAGGAGTCCAGTGCTTATCCAGCTGAATCTCACCAGGACACCTAATATTCAGATAATATGCCATTCTGGCTTCTGTTGAGCAACAGAATTAAGTAAATATAGTTATTTTTCTTCTCATAAAAGTTTATTAATAAGTAATTTTTAACATAAAAATGTTTTTAACATTTATTATAATGGTAAGTCTCAACTTCATTTACACAGTATCGTTTATTCTGTGAATGGTGTTTTAAGAGACTTTGGAAATGAATAGAGAAGAAAGAAAATGACATAAATCTGAAATTGGGGACAACACAGCTAGGTCATTTTATTTATTTGTGTTTCCTTATTATGTCTCCCTGAAGAAAAAAGGAGATATAATTGCCTCCTTTTAATCAAATATATCATATGGGACATCCAGAAATCTTCTAATTTCTCCTCTGGTGTGAGAATGATAACTGTCCCAAAGATGGGAGAACAATCAGTCAACAACAAACAAAAAATAAACATTTGTTTACTCAGCAAATATTAAATATTTCATAACTGTACAGTGTGCCAAGCCAACTCTTTGTCAAATCAGGAAAGAATAGAGAAACACATTAAACATTTTCCTTTACATTCTGTTTTCTAATCATTATGTGTTTAAAAGCAAAAATATCAGTTTGATTACTAAAGTGCACTTGACCCTAACCATGGTATTTTCAATAGCCTCATATGCATGTGAAAACTGGATAGTGAATAAGGAAGACCATAGAAGAATCGATGCATTTCAGTTATGGTGGTGGAGAAGAATATTAAAGGTACCATGGACTTCCAGAAGAATAAACAAACCTATGTTGGAAGAAGTGCACAGAATGTTCCTTAGAAACCAAGATGGCTAGACTTCATCTCTCATACATGGACATAATATTAGGAAGGACCAGTGTCTGGAGAAGGACATCATGCTTGGTAAAGCTGGGGGACAGCAAAAACTAGGGATATCCCCAACGAGATGTATTGGCACAGTGGCAGCAACAGTGGGCTCAAGCGTAGCAGTAATTGTGAGGATGGCACAGGATGCAGGGCTGTTTCATCTGTTGTACATAGGTCACTGTGGATCAGAACCCACTTGTTA